CCGGCGTTTTGGGAACGCCGGACCCCCAGGAGCAAAAAATTTCGACCGGATTTTGGCAAAAAAAGTCAGTTTTGATTTCGTTCAAAAAATATAATATGTTTGTTTTGACGAAATGGCCGTTAAGATTGCTGAGCCTATCCGGGCTATGATAAGGGAAGAAGGAACCATGGATTGGACAGAGGAGCGAGGAGTTGTCCAAAGGCTCAAGGACATATTGACATCTGAGACAGTCGCCCTGTCCACGCCCTGTTTTAATGATGAAGTGGGACAACCCTTCATCCTAGAGACGGATGGAGGACCCTTGGTCGTAGGAGGTGTGTTGATTCAAAGGGATGAAGAAGGAAAAGAGAGGCCGATTAGGTCCGAAAGTAGAACCCTAAACTCCGCAGAACGGTGGTACTCGCAATTCAAGAAGGAAGTTCTAGCCATCCTGCATTGCCTTAAGACTTTTCAGGCCTACCTATTTGGAAGGCGGTTCATCCTCAGGATCGATCCGACGAATATTGCGGGGGCCTTAAAGAATTACAGGCCTATAGATTCGACGGTGGGGAGATGGGTAGGATTTATCTGGCAGTTCGATTATAAGATCGAACGGATTGCGGGAATTAGGAACAAGGCTGATGGGCTGAGCCGGGTCTGCATCACTCCCGAAGGGGTGGAGGATGCGGAGTCCATAGACGCGTTCCTCAAATACGAAGGAGAAACTCTTGCGGTGGATAACGAAATTATGAGCGGGGGATGCACCTCGGGAAACTATTGATCCAGACTTTGGAGAAGGGGGCACCTGCCGTAGTAGCAGAACTTAGAGAAGGACCAGTTACCACTCGAGGACGCAGAGAAGAAAAAGACTCATGAGAAGCGATAGAAGGACCGAAAGAGGAACTAATAGCAATGACGATCGAGGGAGGCCGGGAAGCAGTGATGAGCTTAGTGGAATCTTGGAAAAGGAGGGAGTTGAAATGAGTGGTAAACGAGATGCAAGAAGGAAAGGATGGGGGCAAGGAAGGAGAGGAGTTCTTCTATGTCCAATCATACGAAGGGCTCTTTCGAGAGATCGGGCTGTTGTTGGTAGGAAACAAACAACCTACGGAAATCAGTATTAAGGCAAGAGAAGAAGCCCAAAGGTACGTCCTAGGGGGCGGGTATTTGTTCCGAAGGGAGGAAGGTGCTATGCCCAGAAGGGTTGTGTGTGGAAGACCTAGGCAAATAAACGTTAGCCAGGCAATGCACGACGGGTTAGCTAGAGGTCATCGGTCGTCCAAAGGAACACTTGCAAAGATAACGCCACTCTATTATTGGCCAGGGATGACAGGCATGGTCGCC